TTAAAGGTTCCAAACTATGGGTATAGATCGATTTTCTTTCAACGATGTTAAACGATTTATAAAATAAGAATGTTATTGACCAATGGAAAAATATTAGTAATATCATAGTTAAGCATGGTAGGTATAATTTTCGGTAATTGATAACGTGTTTAACATGACTGTAAGAAACACAGAAAGCCATAGGTTAATCCATATCTATTCCATGATATTAATTAGTTTTACAGATATTTTAAATACATAATACATATGTGTATCTTACAACTTGGAAAGAAAGAACCTTGAACTCGCCACAAGCTATTATATATCTGCATTCTTCTCACTTCCACATACCGTAACATATGGAACGCCGTGACTGTCTTATGCTATAAATATTTTTGCTATCTTCTGAAATGATGGTATTATTTTGTCATTTAAGCATATTAACATGTGCAATTTACATCATATCTTGTCTAAAGACAATGCTGACTTGTCCAAACAGCATGTTAACTTGTCAAATAATCATTATGACATGTGCAGGCAACATGGTAACTTGTCAAAGTATCATGATGACTTGTGCAAACGACATGTTAACTTGTCAAAATAACATGATGACTTGTGCAAACGACATGTTAACTTGTCAAAATGTCATGATGACATGTGCAAACAGCATGTTAACTTGTCGAATTATCGTGATGACATGCTCAAAATACCTAAACAAGTTAACATATGTTTTGCACAAGACATCACGATTCTTTGACAAGTTCACATGTTGTTTGTACAAGTCATCATGATAATTTGACAAGATAACATGGCATTTGCACAAGTCATCACGATACCTTGACAAGTTAACATGCTGTTTGCACTTGTCATCATGAAATTTTGACAAGTTAACATGTCGCTTTCACAAGTCACCATGATACTTGGACAAGATAGCATGTTGTTTGCACATGTTATCACGATGGTTTGACAAGTTAACATACTGTTTGCACATGTCATCATGAAATTTTGACAAGTTAACATGGCATTTGCACAAGTCATCATTACACTTGGACAAGTTAACATGTCGTTTGCACAAGTCATCATGCTACTTGGACAAGTTAACATGCTGTATGCACATGTCATAACGATAATTTGACAAGTAAACATGCTGTTTACACATGTCATCATGGAATTTTGACATGTTAGCATGGTATTTGCACAAGTTATCATAATACTTTGACAAGTTAACAGTACGTTTTGACATGTCAGCATGATACAAGATAACATGTCATTTGCACAAGTCATCACGATTCTTTGACAAGTTCACATGTTGTCTTCACAAGTCATCATGGTAATTTGACATGTTAACATGCTGTTTGCACAAGTCCCCATGATACTTTGACAAATTAACATGCTGTTTGCACATGTCATCACGATAATTCGACAAGTTAACATGTCGTTTGCACAAGTCATCATTATACTTTGACAAGTTAACATGGCGTTTGCACAAGTCATCATGACACTTTGACAAGTTAACATACTGTTTGCATATGTCATCATGATATTTTGACAAGTTAACATAGCATTTGCACAAGTCATCATTACACTTGGACAAGTTAACATGTCGTTTGCACAAGTCATCATGATACTTGGACAAGTTAACATGCTGTATGCACATGTCATAACGATAATTTGACAAGTTAACATGCTGTTTACACATGTCATCATGGAATTTTGACATGTTAGCATGGTATTTGCACAAGTTATCATAATACTTTGACAAGTTAACAGTACGTTTTGACATGTCAGCATGATACAAGATAACATGTCATTTGCACAAGTCATCACGATTCTTTGACAAGTTCACATGTTGTCTTCACAAGTCATCGTGGTAATTTGACATGTTAACATGCTGTTTGCACAAGTCACCATGATACTTTGACAAGTTAACATGCTGTTTGCACATGTCATCACGATAATTCGACAAGTTAACATGTCGTTTGCACAAGTCATCATTATACTTTGACAAGTTAACATGGCGTTTGCACAAGTCATCACGATTCTTTGACAAGTTAACATGCTGTTTGCACATGTCATCACAATAATTCGACATGTTAACATGTCGTTTGCACAAGTCATCATTACATTTTGACAAGTTACCATGTCATTTGCACAAGTCATCATTATACTTTGACAAGTTAACATGTTGTTTGCACAAGTCATCATTATACTTTAACAAGTTACTATGTCAGTTGCACAAGTCATCACGATACTTTGACAAGTTAGGATGTTGTCTGCACATGTCATCATAATCATTTGACAAGTTAAAATTTTGTTTGTACAAGTCAGCATGTTCCTTTGACAAGACATGATGTAAATTGCACATGTTAACACGCTCAAAAGACAAAATAATATCATAGTTTCACAAAATAACAAAAACTTTGATTACATAAGACAGTCACGGCGTTCCATAGTAACAGTTCATTTACTTGTTAAAGCTTTCATGCGTCTATGCATAATACATGTAAGTGGTCGTGACGTAGAAGTTTCGGTTTTATTTCCAAGAGATAATAGATTTTTTTGTGTCGTGTCATTACTTTCATTTCAATTTTTTAACATGTTTTAACGTCTTATTAAATATAGTTCCATCATTACCGTCATGGTCTTCGTCGTCAACTCGACATCACTGTCATCGTTATTATATCATTATTTATCACAGAAAAGTTTGCGCTTTCTTGCAACTCCTATAAACGGTATTACATGGCTCATACGTCTGTGCATAAATTTTGAAATCACGTCTAGTATATTAAACATCTTAAGTCTTAATGGTCTCATCGTTTTTACTTATATCATATGTAGTCCTGTCAACTGATTTTGAGTGTGTTCGATATAACATATATAGAGACGTCAATTGAACTTAAGACGCCGAATATTTTCTTTGCTAGGCAGATATTCAACAATAGATTATTCCTACTTAAATTTTGATAATTAAACCTGACATTGCACTCTTGTTGTTGTTGTCGTTGTTGTTTTTGTCTTCAATGCGATGCTACTTGCTTTGCCTTCCATTAGTTTTTATGTTAAATTTAATTTTTGAAGTTTATAATTTTATACTTCAAGCAGAATGCATACAAATGGGAGATAATCTTTGCAAGAGTATGTCTAGAAAAAATATCATCAATTACTCTCCCTTTATTTAAAGCTAGTGCGCTGTATGTCCACGCGTGCAGAAATATGGGAGGCTGTGAGTACAATACATGTACATCTGTTCTACAGTTGTCAACATCAGACAAAAACAGTTTTTTTGTCCAGTTTTAAACTCGTAAAGGTGTTTTAATTGACATTCTTAGCAGACGGCAATTTTCCTAGCAAATTTAGCTTACTTTGAATGGATTTGGCACAGACCATCCAAAGTTTATGGATTTCAGTGAAAAACGTTACCAAAAGGAACAAGGAATTCTAGTAGTCATCTTTAACAATCAGGTTAATGGTTAAAGTGTTCTCACTCATTTTGCATGAGTTTGCAATGAAATACAGGAATAAAAAAACTCATCAATAACTTATAATTATTTGGCAAACATAAGCGCCAGTTATATGACCAGGATCAAAATTTGAATCAACTAACATGTATATTACTTATTTCATAATCAATTTAATAGTAGACAACTTTATGTATCATTATTTTATTTGTACGACGCCGATGATGAAGACGACGACGATGATGATGGTTACCTCGGCAAAAACAATGACAAAGATAATTATAATGATGACAACGACGATGATGATGATGAAGAGATAGCAATTAAGAAGATAAATTCATGTGTTTCTTTTAAGTTTCAAATTCTGAAATTGTGCTTTCTAACATGAAAACACCCTGAACTGATGGTTTTAAACATAACATTTGAGTGTGGTTAACGCGTAAGACTGGTAATCTTAGGATTGCTGACCGCGTGCCATGTATTCAAACCCTGTCAGAGGCAAGCCGTTCTTCCTTGAACAAGAAACTTTACATTCATTGCTAAGTACTGCTTGGTTCCAGGCACGGATTCGAGAGTGTTTCAATAAGCTTACAGTTTCCAACACAATCGGACTAAAATAAATTCGTATAAACTAAACTAAACATAAGAGTTATTTATTTAAGCTCACCTGAGGACAAAGTGCCCAGAGATGAGCTTTGTACATAACGCCGTTTAACAGCGCTGCCGCAAAAACAGGGTCAACGTGTTTTCAGCGCAAAAACAGCACCTGTTTATGTGACATTTTCAACGCATAGTCAAATCCAATTTAGACATAAAGATATCCAAAATAACACTAAAACACTACGCTCTAATCATATTAATTATGTTAATCAACAACATCATCACTTCTACCACCGTCATCATTACAATCACCATTATCATCATCATTACCATCACCATTAATATCATCATCATAAAAATATTACTACCGCCATCATCACTTCAACAATCATCATAGTACCACGACCATCATTATCACAAGCACTTTCATCATAACGCCAACACTATCATCATCATCATCATCATCATCACCACCACCACCAATATCACTAAGATTATCTCTATTATTGTCATCATTTATGTTTAAATATTAGAACTACAACATTAGCTTTACCATAAATGGTTGAAATTCATCCTTTTCATGCCACAAAAGGTACATTTGCTCCCAATATAAATATGTGAGATTTACATGTTTAGTGTTGCCCCATAAACATGGTCGTCCTTGTTATGCATAGAAGATAAACGCAGTAATTAAACCGACTTTTTGAAGTGGCAGCACTGTTATGTGGAGATACAGAACCTAAATTGTGATGAAAGTGTGTCCGTCTTCCGTTGTTCGTCGTGATCAACAATTTCTTTAAAACAACATCTCCTCCTCAACCACTTGGTGGATTTTGACAATACTTCACAGGAAAGACCTTTAGGTGGCCCTCTACAAAAGTTATGGTTTCAGTATGTGATAGCACTGAAATATTATCAAGATATGATCAGTGTTATCAAAACACTGCACTTAACAGTATATCAAAACAAATATGATTTTGAAATTCATCTCTTTAACTTCAATCAATATAATAAGAATCCTGAAAAAGAGGAAAATCTGTAGCCATCTGTTTCATGCATTACATGAGTTGCCCATCTGTAGTTAGATACCCATACTTGTTGACCTTTCGTTAGTGACACGAGGACGAAATTGCTACCTTGTGCCTCTTGGCCTGTGTGAAAGGTATCAGCAACGCCATCGACCTCATTAACTGCGTTGACAACGAGCTTAGCAACAATCTGGTTTATATTAAAGGTTGCTATGGAAAAATAAAACCCATAGATACCATCCATGGGACAGGTAAAAATTCCTGAAAAATGGTAAAAGGTCAATTAACATACACTATTTAAAAAAGATAGATAATAAAGATAAGGTATACAAGTAGCATACTAGGGAAAAAGCTGCACAACTTCATTGCATAAGTATATTAATGTCCGGATTATGCCACTGTTTTACTAAATTTATCAATATCTATGAAAAACAACACCAATTTTGCACCAACACAATCGATAGACTAAGAGAAATTGCGATCATTTTAAAATCACTGTGTTCGTTATTACCGCCATCGTGGTTATACTTTATAATTCAGAGGGCGACAATGCGACAGTGCGATGACAACAATGATAGGGCGATGACGACAATGCGAAAGTGCGATGGTGACAATGCGATTACGCGATGACCACATTGCGATTATGCAAAAGTGCGATGGCGGCAGTGCGATAATCCGATGACGACATTGCGATAATGTGATGATGGGGACAATACGATAGTGCGATTATAAAACATTTTAGGCTTATTTCTTGTCAAACTTCGTTTGCTCGAACTCGAAGGGTCTGTGCAAATTTGTTCGAGAGATCGGTAGTTCGGTTATAATCTAGAGGGCAACAATTCGACAGTGCTATGACGACAATACCACATGGCGGTGACGACAATTCGAAAATGCAATTCTGACAATGCGATAACCACAGTACGATAATGCGATAGTGTGATAGTGTAATGGCGACAGTGCGATAATACGATGATGGCGATAATAGTCCGATAATAAAACCTATAGGCCTATTTCTTGTCAAACTTCGTTCGTCCGAACTCGGAGAGCCTGTGCAAATTTGTTCGAGAGATAGATAGTTCGGTTGAACTATTATCACGTGGGAAAAAGGCCCAATGGTTTTCCAGCTTACATCGGTCGAATGATAAATCGAACGTCATTTTTATGGTGATGATTTGTGCAATTCGTGTTTTTACCCTGCGACCACGCAAAGCAAGAGCCGAGAATTGACAAGTCGAAATGGCGGGGCCGCGGGGCAAAAACACGATTGACACAAATCAGCCATCATACATTATAATTGTTTGTGAGTACATCAGTACGTCGACTACGTCATTTCTTTTAAATATGAAAAATTATTATCCCAGTATTTACGGTACACCTTTATGCATATTGTAATTGGTTGACCAGAGATCAGGTTCGAGAGTTCGAGCGATTGCATTTCGAGCGATCCGAGGTAGAAACATATATATTATATAGGAATTTTGCAGGGAATTGGGAATGAGTTCGAGCGAAGGGAGGTATTCGAACGAAGGAAGGTATTCGAGCGATCCGAGTTCGAGCGAACGAAGTTTAACTATATGTTTGTTGTTTTTTGTTGTTGTTTTTTTTTGTGGGGGGGGGGGGAGGGGATTTTCTTGCTTCCTTCTTTGTTTATTTTTCTTTTCTGTATACTGAAAACGTCTCAATAAAATTATAAATTAATAAAATGAACATTTTATATAAAAAGATAGGGGAAATAACTTATATAACATACACGGAGAATGTAATAAATAGTGTTAACGTTTATGACGCACTATCGCAATCACATTATCGTCATTGCCCTATCGCATTATATCATTATCGTACTGTCGTCATCGCATTATCGCACTGTTGCCATCGGACTATCGTTATCGCACTGTTGTATTGTCGGCACAGTCGCCTTCTGGATAATAAAGTATAACAACGATGGGCCTAACGGTATTTCGTACGTTATAGGCTGAACCTTCGTTAGAAGTAAATTTATGTTGGTAAATTATGATTATTTCTTAATATGTATAGATTCTGAAAGAAGAGTGCCATTGCAGGCATAATAAATCATAATCAAAATGAATATATTGATGGTTATGTATTTAACATACCGCTGTGTTCGTTGTAGGCTGAACCTTCGTTTAACACAATTTTGTTGTAAACAATAGGCTGGTCTATCCCTGGGTTTTGAACATCGTGATCCAAGTACGAGGAGAAGGCAACTCTTTCATATTGGCGGATATCTACAAGATTGAAATTGTGAAGAAGTGCTTTTACATCAATAAAAATATCTACATATTAACTAAAATATAAAAGAATTGTGAAGAAGTGCTTTTAAAACAATTAAATCATAAACATATTAACTTAAAACTGATTTACCCAAAGGGTTTCCATAGAAATAAGCCAAAAAGATATTTCCCTAGAATAGACCGGACAATATGTTGCAAAGGTGTGTATATCTATTATAAAACAGATAAGGAATGTGCTTAATATCCCAGGTTTAACACACACACACACACACAAAAAAAAAAACAATATGTCAATGATTTTCAAAAATTCTATGGCTAACTTATACAATTCATGTACATTTATTCTTTTTTTATACATTTGTACTATCAAGCTTAGAAGTGTCAATTTTTAATGATACTTTACTAAGCATTAATACTTCTCTGGATAGTGCTACAAGGTTGTTTTCTCCATTAACGTCGCGCCTTGTCGTGTCAGATTGATTCTTTACAGCATGTTGGGTTTCTGGTCGTACCCCCTTCATCCTAAAACAAATGTAAACATGACATTAACATGTGTTAAAATTGTTTTTAGATACGATGCGTTACATATAATGCATATTATTATTTATACTCGTTATTTTGAAAGCAGTTGCAAATAGTTATTTATAGTAACAGTGCATAGTCATAATTATATAGTAACAGGTCAAGAGAGAGAGAGAGAGAGAGAGAGAGAGAGAGGGAGAGGGGGAGAGAGAGAGAGAGAGAGAGGGAGAGGGAGGGAGGGGGAGAGAGAGGAGAGAGAGAGGAAATAATCCCTATAGAACGTCCAAAACGGCAAAATTAAAAATGTTACAGGCTCAGTTTGATTGAACCTGTTCATGAACGGTACTAGAAAGTGCAATTTGCCGTCTAATCCCCAAGCACCGGTTTACCAGAATTCAACATTGAAACATGAAAATGTGAATTAAGAGACATCCGCAAATGTCATACTAAATTGAAAATAATAAATACCCGAATGATTGTGCTTGAACCTTGAAGATTGATGTATTTTTAAGATGAGATAAGTAAACTTAACTTTGTTATAATAAATTGTTAGAATAACAAATTACAACTAGCACGAACTATTTAATAAATTCCTGTATTTTCTTTTAAGAACAACAATTTATTTTCATATTTATTTGATATTGTGATGAAGACATAATGCCAAAACGAGTGCATGGTGACATCTAAACTTGATGTGGCTTTTATCAATTACATATGGTTCGCCAGCTTAGCTCAATAGAGAAAGCATCGGATTTGTAATCCCAGAGGCTCTGGTTCGATCCTCGAGGAAAAAGTTTCCGTAACAGGTCATGTGCCTTTCACCGCGGATTCAGAATTCATCCTTGAGAAGTAGTCAGTCATTTTGCAAAATTTGTAATTATAAAGTAAAGCAGGGTTTTTTTCTAGACTACTGTATTGATTTTTCAAAAGACTTACATCTGTGGCCGCTTAAAGTAATAACCAAAACTATTTTTAAAAAGAAAAAAATATGTTGGATTAAAAATTTTCATTCGATTGAAACGTAGAAAAAGTTATTTTGTGGAGAAATGTTACAAAGTCAAAAGATCATATACAAACATTAAGGAATCTTTAAATTATCATATTTGTTTCATCAAACGTTTGTAGAAGTAAAATATAACTAATGTTTGACTGAAAGTCTTAGATATTGAGCATTGCTTTTATACGAATGAGTTATTGAAAACAATTCAGTTAACAACATTAAAAGCAAACGTATATGTAATTGTTAATGTATGTTAGAAATTGTTTGAAAAGAAGTTGTATGCCACTTTATATATAAATACATGTAGTAATAGAAGTACAGTAGTTCATTGAAACACCATATACAGATCTGTAGCATCTTGGAAAATTTGTAACCTTTGAGTTGCGTTTCATATTTTTCATTTTTTTTAAACAAAACATTAGGTAATGCTGTTCTTAGAAACGTAAAATACATAGGTTTATTCTTTTTAATGTTACAGAGAAAGTAACTCATTGTTGATGTTGTTTTACAAAGTTTAAGCAGTTATATATTTCAAATTTTTCTGTGTGTTTTGTAAGTCAAATTGTGTTCAACATGCTGTTTGTCTGCAAGCTACAGGTATTCAAAATTGAATTTGGAATGAATTACTGATATAATAAACGAAACCAAAAGTAAATCTGAATTCCAAATATTTTAAAGTGTACAATCTTAATGTGAAAATAGCATATCATATGATAAAAATTTTGCTATTTAATGTGGTAAATATCAATACAATGACGATTTTTCTGATTTTTTTATCTCAATGTGATACATTTACAAAATCAGTAATATTTTTTGCAAGGCTCACTGTTTCATGTAAATGGTCATAAGACAATGAAGCCCGAGTTCAATTTCAACCTTAAAATGCCTGTTCGTGGCTATTCACACTTCACCGCATTGTCTTGATTTCTATTATTGATTTTTAAGTTTGATCCTGATCACATCCCATACTCTGTGGTGCCTAAATAAATGTGGATCCAGATTATTCGTTAAAGCACTCAATTTCTAATTACGTCTAAATTTAATATAATTTCAGTATAAAACAGTAAAATAGTCATTATTTCACACTGTTGTAACTCCTAAATGCAATTTTATTTTAGGGTCAAATTGCTGTAACTTATTACAGCATTCTGGTTCTTGTATTTTTTTCAATAAAATGTATTTTGGAGTGATTTTTCTTTTTTTTTTCATTTTGATTTAAAAAAAAATATCTACAGGAACTTCTTTGTAATTAAAAGTGTAAAAATTAAAATAATTCTGCACACTAAGATATATTTTATATTAAAATTGGTTGAGTAAGTGTGAAGATATAGCCTGTTAAAACTTTGAAGTCGATTTTCTAAAAATTGTCAAAATACGACTTACATTATTATGGAACTAAGGCGACGACTGGGCATGTAAAAGAACCAAGGGATCTATTTAATAAGAGCTAGGGACTGGTGCCTGGATTCCCTTGTATCTCATAGCTGTCACTAGTGACAACTGGAAATAAGTGGTTGCACTTTCGTAGGCTATCTTTGACCGTCCGGTCTAAAAAAATCAATTTAAAGGTGAATGTTATATCATAATGTCATCTATTATCAGCGGAAAAATATGCAAAGGGAAAGCGAATTTGAATTACAAGGCATTCCCCCAAGGCAGAAATTACTATCACTGGAAGAGCACAGAAACGTCTATATTTTGTTAGGCTTATTTTACGGTAATCAAAGGACGTGACTTTATTAAACATTTGGTGCAACAAATATCAATGAAAAGCAAAAGATATTAGAATTTAATGAGAAAATTCAATAAAACAGCTCCCACCGAAAATGCCTTGACAGTACATAGCAATGATACTGAATGGTAATAAGCACTGAATATGATGACTTCTTTTGAGCAAATGTTTAATACGGTCTGGAAAATGAAACCATATGTCATGGGAAATCATAGAAACAAATTGAGAGTTGGAGAAAAAAATAGAAATGTGCCGATTGGACGCGAGTGCCCCCACACTCCACTGTTTTGTCAATCTACTGACTCTTTGTCAAATAATGTTTGGGCTACACGCAATACAATTTGAAAATTGAAAATCTTTTACTAAGTCAAGGGCAAAAACCTGTACTGAATAAATCTACAAACAAGTTGAAAATTGCATATTTAAACTAACTCTACAAATACTGAAAAAAATCCACAGTCAAAGCCCAAGTTGCTGAACTACACATGCTGATCCACATTCCTGTAAAGATTCATGACCATGTCAAACACTTTTTACTATGTCAATGGCAATAACTTTACAAATGCAGCAAATATGCAAATGTAGCAAACCCCAAGGTTTACAACTACTCGTGACTCTAGGTAAAATACTTTTTGACCTCAGTATTCAATGAGATGATGTTGACAGACAACATTCATAACGCGAAATTGGGGTAATATAAATGCACATTATATTATTTTACAAAGTCGTCGAAAGTTAAGACAGTTTATATTTATTATAATGCTTTATAATATTATATGTTTTTATGTTGTATATTTGGTGTCCGCGCCGAAGCGCGACGCCCCTTATGGAATGAGAAAGGGCAATTGCAACTTCTCGGGCCTTTTAGTCGGTCATAATAGCCGGTCATTCCGATTGGTAAAGTGTTTGATTATTAAAAATGAAATGTCTCGATATGTACAATGAATATTTCACAAGGCAAACATATTCAAATGAAATAATGTTTTCCGTCAATTAATCGCGCTCTTCGGAGTTTTTTTATTAATCACTTTGTAGTACACAGAGGGTTATTATGTATGTTATTGTTGTACATGTATCCGAAAGCTATAAATAGAATGATGACCTTAACATTGTGAAAGTCCGAAAATCTATTTATTTTTGGAAGTGGCTAGCCGTAGGGGTCCGTACGGCTAGCCAAAAGTTCTAGCCGTACGTGAGTCACGTACGGCTAGCCAGGGCACATTGTATTGTCTAGCCGTACGGCATTTTTTTTTTCAAAATTATATGAATGTCGAAAATACGTATGTTATTATATATCTTTAAACGGGTATTTTACTCAAGAATCCGCATTTGTCCACTTATATTTACTTAAATAATGATGCTCCGCTATTTTCGGTGCTGTTTTTCATTTTAAAGGTGTTGAGAATTTAACCTATCGAAACAAAAAAAGATTGTTATAATAATGATCGATATAAACGATTACAACTCTTTTTTCTCGCCGTCTGGAGATGGCAGAAATCGATATTTGTACTTTCTTTACTGTAGCCACCTGGAGATGTATCTCTAAAAGTAAACAAACAAACACAATAGCTTTTCTTGATTATAATCCTCGTATAAAGACACAAAATAACATATGCATTTTCGACTTTCATATCATTTGAATAGTGCCGTACGGCTAGACAATTCAGTGTGTCCTGTCTAGCCGTACGTTAGAACTTTTGGCTAGCCGTGAAAAGTTTATAAGAATATCTTGTCATCATATGTCTACTAGTTCATCTTCACTTACTGCATTTCTTGCTTGGACGCCCTTTGATGCTTTGCATCAATGCTTTTCTTGTTAAATGTTATTGAATAAGCGAAGATAGCAAGCAAAGCAAAAAGTTGCATAGACACAGATACAGTTATTGGTAGCAGCAACTAAGCTCTTGATGAAATATAATCATATCATTTGAAGACAATGACTGAGTTAAGCGAAAGGGAGGGGTGGGGGATGCGCTTACATGTCTGTTTCAACATACCCATTTTGTAATTAGTCGTCTACTACGTGTGAAATAATTGACTTTCTGAATTACCTCGATCAATCTAAAGTTGAAAACCATGATACAATAATGATTGCATAACAATATTACACGATTATATTTTACCTTAAAGATATATGGAAAATCATCCAATTTTCGCCAAAAACATACAAAAAAAAAGAAAATATTCTTATCATAATCATGTATATATCGGAATTGCATCCAACTGAGATGCATAAGGTTAAATTGTAACAGAAGACAATTTTGTGCCAATTAAGAGATT